TCTCCTCGCGATTATTCACGGGGGATTACGGTTCGATCGCGAACATTCCGCCCGCCTCGTATGGTGCAACCTACGATGATATTTAATTGATTCTAATTCGCGCACGACGCGATAAGGAGATGACGATTTTCGCGATTACTCCTCGCTTCCCGGTGCGTCGCAGTCCGGGAGGAGGACGAGTTTGCTCACAGGCCGTGTGAGTATCGATGCCGCCGTTCGAACTTTGACGACGCGAACCTGTCCGTCGTCGCCCGGGAGTAGCTCCTCAATCCGAGCGAGGGGCCACTTGGTCGGGGGCGTCGTCTCGCTTCTTACGAGGCACAAGCGGCCTGCTCGCACCTCCAGGTCGGCCTTGAGCCATTTCGGGCGATGAGCAAGCGTCTGGAGGTACTCCTTAGACCCTCGCGCCCAGAAATGGTCCCGCATCTGCTGGACTTGTTGCCAGCGGGACAAACGAGTCGTTCTCTCCTCCGTCAACGACGGCTCCGGTACGGCGCTGATGGCCGAGCCTATGAGGAAGTGGCCGGGAGTGAGCGGGCTGAGGTCCTCAGGGTCGTCTGTCAGGGCCTGCAGGGGACGTGAATTTAGGCACGCCTCTACCTGAGATAATAACGTGGCCATCTCCTCGTAGGTGAGAGTCGCCTCGCCGATCACTCGCCGCAAGTGATGCTTGGTCGACTTGACGGCTGCCTCCCAGATGCCGCCAAAGTTGGGCGCAGCGGGGGGATTGAAGCGCCACGCTATCCTCTCCTCAGCAACGCGCTCGGCGATGCGTCGGCCCCCCTGGCCGCCTGCGGAGAATAGATCGCGCAATTGTGCGTCGGCACCGACAAAATTTGTGCCGCGGTCGCTGTACAACGTCTGGCATAGACCTCGGCGGGAAACGAAGCGGCGCAGCGCAGCCAGGAAGGCGTCGGCGGTGTAGTCCGTAGCCACGTCGAGGTGTACCGCTCTAGAACACAGACATACAAATACAACGATAAATGCTTTAGAGGCCCGCTGGCCCCGTCCCTTGGAGGTTCTCAGCCACACCGGTCCGGCGTAGTCGACTCCGGTGTTCAGGAATGGCCGAGCGGGAGTTACCCTTGGACCAGGGAGGCTTCCCATGAGAGGCTGTGGAGAGGCCGCCCGCCATCGCACGCACGTCACGCAACGCCGAATACACCCTTTCACCAATGTACGACCGCGAGGGACCCAGTACTCCTGACGAAGGGCCCCGAGGGTCGCCTGCACTCCTCCGTGCAATGTCCGCCGATGGCACGCCTCCACGATAAGCCTCGTTAATCGTGACGGTCCCGGCAAGATCACAGGGTGCTTAGCGTCGTAGGTAAGCATGGCATTCTTGAGTCTACCGCCGACGCGGAGCAGGCCTCGCTTGTCCAGGAAGGGGCTCAGCGAGGCGATGGAACTGCGCGCCGGCAGCGGAGCGTTCTTTTGGAGGGCCATCGCTTCCCCCTTGAAATGAATGGATTGAACCCAGCCGATCCAACCCACGATGGCGTCGTTGAGCTCCTCGCGTGTTAGTACGAGCCCAGCGGAGGAATCGGGCTGCTTCTCGTGGGCAGTCCGCCTCGCCCGCAGGCACCGCAGCCAACGGCGGCACCAAGCTGTCGTCCGCGCCAAGCTCGTCAGGGATGAGTACCTCGTCAGCAGCTCGGGCTCCTCCGTAGCGGCTGCCACGGCATGTATGTGAGAGCGCCGTTCCGGGAGGTCGACTGGTACTTCGTCGTCCAAGGGAGCGGACCGGTTTTAGTTCGGAGCCACGCCGGGCCCTGCCACCAGAGCGGGTGCTCCACGAGTTCCCTTGGTAAGAGGCCTCGGGACGCGCAGTCGGCGGGGTTTTCACGCCCGGGGACGTGATGCCAATAAGCGTCAGGGAGAGTGAGCTGAATCTCACTCACTCTGTTTGCCACGTATGTCTTCCAGGAAGCAGGGTGACCTCGAATCCAGCCCAGCACTACGGTCGCATCAGTCCACAGATGGGTCGGATCCTCTTCTATCTTGAGGACCCGCCGAGCATGATTGGCGAGTCGGACGAGTAAGGCGGCAGCGTTTAGCTCCAACCGTGCAAGACTGACCTGCT